TCTTGCTTTGCTGTTAGATCACAGCAGGCAGGACCTGGAGCTAGCACCAAAGCTGCATCTCTGAAATCATCCAGTCATGTTTTGCCTTGAGAATTATTTCAGACTAATGCATCCAAACTAAACTGGGGACAAGATGCTAACAACCAAAGCAGAAGAGCAGGAAGTAGGTAAGTAACACTTCTGATCTAAGGACCCTGCTGTTATTTTTTTCATACCACCATTATCGAGTTTTATGAGCTGGTAACCAGGGAACATGGAAATTACATGAGTTGCCCAAGGTGATACAGCAAACCAGCAGCACAACAGAGAATAGAGCATAGATCTTGCAAGTCCTAATCTGCCACCCCACCTGCCTCCCTCTCATACCTGCTGTGTTCCCAGGATACAAATCTGGCTTTGGCAAAAATGAAGTTCAGCCTGAATGCATTTCCAGACAACACACAGGAGTACATACTATAAAAGCACCCTTGTCATTGCCTTTCCACGAAGCAGCATTGGGCCCTGGCACTTGCAATTTCTGAGGAATTAAAAAATAATGTATGATTGGTACTAGTGATGACCGCACAAACTATGCTCTAACAATTCAATGCCCTGCTCAAGACAGCCCTGCCTACCCAAGAGAGAGGAGACTAGAGCCAGAGTCAGATATATGGCTGAGATGCCAATTGCTTCTTACAGGGGAAAGGCTAATGGAGTGAGAGAGAAATCAGAGAAAACATAGTTGCAGAGATACTTATGGGCAGAGAGGGAGGGAGAACCTGCAGCAAAAAGAAACAAATGAAGCCCTCCTCTCCTCTGCTCAGCAAGGGCAGGGGACAGAGTGCAGCCAAGATAGTTGAGGTTGAGGTCAGGAGTTAAGAGTGACAGTAATTGAACCCTGGATCTGGCTCTGTAAAGATCTCTACCTTCTTTTCTCCACCGGTAAAATGGGATCTAGAATAATACTTACAGCACAGGGTGGATTAAAAAGCAGCTGTACAAAGCTGTGAAAAGTATAGCTGTAGATCAGGGCTAAGTAACTGTGTTTCTGCCATAAGCCAGTCACTTTGGTGCAATATATGCTGACACGATGTTGTAGGACCCATGTTAAATGCTAGAAAGATGGGAACGTTTATTAAATGGATAGGTTAACTTCAGGGGAAAGACTTGTGTTTCATGATGTAAACATATGATTTTCAATAGATACCAGAATGCAAGAGGCTTTTTTATTATTATTTCCTTTTCATTTTGTACACACAATACTGGGCTGCTGTGAACTGTACAGGTACCCAGGCAGAGCCCAAAATTTAACCTAAGGCTAACACTGAAGGATATGAACTAGCTTTATCTTTCTAAAGCTGTCAGTGTGGGCTTGATGCTTCATGTATGACATCCAGGACAGAAGCACCCACACATACAAATAATGCACTTAAGAGCTTTGAAAGACAAGATCTTAATCTCAAGAAAAAAATGATGTCTTTCCAATGTGTCAGAATTTCAGAAGTAATTGTGAGATCTGACAGGGCTGCTGGTGATTCTCTTAAAGACTCTTTATAGCTCCTCTTACAGGGGCCTTGGGCTGATTCATGTTGATCGTGTCTGACAGCTAGCATTTCTGTTAATAATAATCATAAATAAAGTGGACAAGGTTGTGTGACCTGAAATGAGCATATCTATAGTGCCATATCCATTACCGCACAGTGGATCTGTGACCGCAAATCAGGAAAGGTCCAATGCTCTTGACACTATGTATTAAAATAATATCTGTCTTTTAAAAACTCAGAACCTTTGTCTGCTATCTTTTTCATTAAAAAGTGTTTCTTAAGAGAGAACATTCACACTAGAACAGACCTACAGAAAGGAGATATTACAGAGGATGAAAGATTGCAAACCTTTGCAATTTTTTTGTTTATTATGCAATAAAAATATATTTGTGAACAGCTCTATTCTCTCTTATATCTCAGTTCCTCCTTCATGTTCTCCTGCGTTGAAGTCATAATCTTGGTTTTATGCCATCATAAATCTGCTGACATCTGAAAAATTATACTATTATCAAACACATCAAATCAGAATTATGATTTCACTGCTGCAGGACCAAATGCAAACAGGAGCTGGGTTATAAGAAAGTGAAGCCTTATTAATTTCTGGGCAGTGGTTTGCTGCTAGAGATATGGAAGGTTGTAAAGATTTTTTTTTTTTAAATTTGCATAAAACCCCTGGTTGTACACAAATACAAGTATAAGTCATTCAAAACAATACAGGAATTATTCTCAAAAACAATAGGGAATCACTCTCCAAAGTAGAGTATTAGAGATTATAAACTCAGAATCTCTCCACATCAGGTGACAGGCTGAATTAAGAGAGAAGCTTTGCAAATTACTTTGAGGAGGTCCATGTGCCAGGCTTTGCCAAGCCCACTGGGGCAGGCAATTTCCAGGGACACTGGTCCTCCACTGAAAACCCTCCACTCTAGAGATCCAGGTCCAGCAATGGGTAGATATCTGCAATGTTACTGAACCCAGAGAGAAGAACTAAACCATACAAGAAATTGGAATAAAGAGATTAATCCGCTGACCAGCAAAAAAGCTGCATTTGGTGAAAAAGACAGGTCAGGTATTACACAGCAGTAAAAAAGCAGCAAAGCTTTGACTCTCCATGTTCCCCACTAAGGAAGGATTCCGGCTGCCCCATCACTCACTGCCTTTGCATATCTGCACAGCACGATAAACCAGCGTCGCTGCTCTGCCAGGTAGGTTCAAGGCTGACTAGACCATGGAAAAGCCTCTTCTCTCCAGGTGTCTTCCAGACTGCTACAAGAGCAACCTGAAACCTGAGTCTCAAACAGCCCTCTCTTCATAGCTCCCTTTTCATGGCCCCTGACACAATGTTCAGTCCTGCACAGGGGTTATTGAAAGCAGAAGCTGTGAGCCAAAATATAACCTTGGTATAAAGCAGTATTCTGTAAATCTATAATTTCAGAAGATCTGAAACTCTTCTGTAATTACAACACAAAGGCAGTATTTTCCTCGGTCATACCTCTAGCCTTGTCCAGTCTCCAATGTGCTATCAAAGCACAGAGAAGTGAAATGAAACAACTAGTTTTGTGAACAAACAAATCCTGGTCTCCTACTGATTTAGGTCTGGGATGAACTCTGGAGTCTAAATAATCTGCAGGTTCTGCCTGAAGCTTTTCTTAGAGTACTTTTTTAAAGTATCTGCCTAGGGAAGGGGGGATGTTCTCTAATGTCTAATAAGGAAAATTGACATTGCAGTTTTCTCTCTGTTCCCTCATCTGCACAGGTGCCTGTTTTCACAGAACTTGATATATTTTTGCATTTAAGTGTCCTGTGGAAAAAGTCCGTATTATACAGGCAGTTTCTCCACAAGACACAACCCAGTTGTCAGTATACATCCACAAATGCCATCTCTGTGAACAGCTTTGTTTCCCTTTTCCACAACATACAAATTATCCTACTTTTTCTTGCAAGATATCATTAAAAAGTTTACATTTGAAAGCAGCTATTAGAGGAACAACTCCTTAGAAAGAGGAAAATTAATTTATTACCACATAAACTGAAGGGATAGGAAAGATGTTTTATCATAGGATACAAAGTTAACTTCAGAAAGATTATTTCATCACTTGGCCTGTGCTTGCATTGTGTAGAGCGATCCCTTTCAGATGCATCCTCTGAACAGGTAGAATCAGTCATGCACTTATAAATATGGTTTTCATAGCGGCATCTATTGTATTCACATCTGTGCTGCACATGTTCTTCCTGCTACCACAGTCAACAGCAGAAAGAAAGGGAGAGTTACGCATCACTCAGTTCGCTCACTGCAAGTGAATCCCAGAGGTGAGAATCCCAGCAAGAGGAATGGCTGGTGAATTAGGAACTCTATGAGAATAACACAATTTGGACAGATAGTGCTACTGTAGGAAAAGTAGCCACTGGTATTTCACATACATGTGCACACCAGTTCAAATGTCAACGTGCATTTTTTTCAAAAGCAGGCAGGACTTGCACTTCAGGTTGGGAAAACAACACCCAGGAAAAAGGTAAGGTGATCAGCTGATGGATCCTCCTCATCACTGCCCTGCAAACTTCTGAAACTCATTCTGGTGCAAAGATGTACCAGTTGCAACTGCACAGACTCCTGGCATGACCCAGGAGGTTACTGTCATCTAATTAAAATGTCCTGATGTAACGTGAAAGCTACTGGGGATTATATCTGAAAAAAGCTGAAGTCCTTCTAAGCCTTACTATGATCACTAAAAAGGTTTCAGATTTGCAAGTGCTTCAGTGCAGTGGTTCATATATATTATTATTATTAATATAATTTATTATGTGTTATAAATAAATTACTGGGAAAAGAGAGACTCATAACTCAAAAGTTAAAAATCAAGAGTCTCAGAGGCAGGATAACATCTTTCAAGGGGCATGAACACAACTTTGTTCCATCTCCTAGGTGTGAAGAAGGAACTCAGCAGTGGTTTCAGCTGCAGGGCATCTTGTACCTTTAGGCATCCAAAGCAAACAAGGAGCAAAAGTGGGCTCACAACAGATACTGCTATTCAGCAAGTCTCTGGTCTTGTACTGATGAAACACAAGCATACCAAGAGGGGAGTCTGCCCAAAGTGTTTTAGAGTAACAGTTACATTTCACCACTTCACAAAGGCATCTTTCTGGAATCACATCTGAAGAGTATTTGTATCATTAAATATTTGAATGTGGCTGCCACAGCATCACTAACCAGTTTTAGGGATAAATGTTCTTCTGTTCAAGTGAAGTAAGCCTAAGTGAAATGAGTGAGGGGGAGACTCCACTGCAAAGGCAACGTAACCACACAGGATTTGTGCATGTCGTAAAACGAAGAAATGCAGAGCCTAGGACACTTACCCTGGCCTTGCTTCTCTGCTAAGAGATATAGCTGGTACTGAATTAGCTCACCTTTAGGGCTAGCCTCCTCATCTACTTAGCTGCTTTTGTCTGAGTCCCTCTTTCACAGCACCGCAAGCTTACCTGCATTTGATCGTTTCTTTGGGGTTTTGAGACTTCGGCACCTGCCACTCGCAGAGCTGCTGTTCTCGCTCATGGAGTCTTGTGCTGAAGATGCGCTGCCCGTCGCCTCGCTGTCCCTCATCATGCTCTCATAGCCGCTGCTCCCCCCGCTGTGATAGAAGAGGGCAGTTTTCCCCATGGCAGGGGGCAGCTCCCCACTCAGGACACTGCTGTTGTCACTTCCATGGCCACTGCTGCAGCGGTGAGGTTTCCGAGGAGGGGTGATCTTGCTGTAAGGTGAGGGCAGCATGTGAACAGTTGGCTTCTCATCCCCGGGAAGGCCCCCGCGCTCATCTGCCTCCGAGCTTCCCCGTGGCTGTAAGCCCCTGGCACTGGTGCTGCCCTGGAGCAGTTCTGAAATCCTCCCGTTGACAGCCCGAAGGGGCAATTTGGAAGCAAGGCTGGAGCCTCGGTTTCTGCTGAGGGACTGTGTTGACCAGGACATGTTCTTCCCACTCGGAGGCAAACTGGAGCTCTGCCCTACAGATTGAGGCAGAGACTTGGTCGAGAAGCTGAGCGTTTTGGTGGCAGAGGCAGACAGGCTGCGGGCCTTGGGACTTGCCAGCAGGAGCTTGCTGACCGCAGAGATCTTTGACTGGCTGGCTTTTGGGGAGGCACCTGTGGACTGGGACAGGCCTGAGTTGGTGGGTGAGGACATGACACTGCGGCTGAGGCTCCTTCCAGCCCTAGGCATAGTGGTGTCTTTGCCAGGGCTCATTTTGGAGCTCACAGAGGACAGGCTTTCCGCTCTTTCCAGCGACAAACATTCATAGTGGCTTCCTGTAGACCTCCCGAGGGAGTTGGTCCTGCTGGCGAGCTGCTCCAGTTTGGCACTGAAGAGCTTGCTGCTGCTGTTGTTGCTGCTGCTGTCAATGCCAGAGCCCTTCTGTTTGGCATTCAGCTCCTCAGGGAAGCTGGCCAAGAAGGACCCGGGCTGGCTGGAGGGACTGCTTGTGGTGCTGCTGGCTGTGCTGTGCTGGGGGCTGGCTCTGTTCTTCTGATCCAAGCTTGACTTTCTTACCGGTGGCAGAGGAGGGGTTCCTTTGGGACGAGTGAGGACACAGTGTTTGGGAGAGGCCACTTTCTTGTCGAGGCTAGCCTTAGAAAACTGGGGGAGGGCAGGAGAGCTGACTCCGCTACTGTCAGTAGCAGTAGGATGGAGGTGACTGTCAGGCTCCTCTGGCTTGCTTGCCCTGAGGAACCCTCGAGGGAGGCTACCATTCTTCAGGCCATCACTCGAATGAACAGGGCTTTGGGTTGCAGAGCCGGACGCTGTCACCTCACACCCATCCACAATCCTCTTTAGACTGTCAGATCCTGGGGAGATAGAGGCATCCCCACTGCTGCTGCTGCTGCTAAACCTGTCCACTGAGGACTGCTTTGTGCTGTGCTCAGGCTTGGCTGGAACTGTGGCCATGTCAGCCCTCAGCCCATCACTGACCCCAGAGCTATTGTTTTTTACATCTTCTTCTCTCTTCAGCCAAGGGTCTTCAAATTTGATATCCTTCTTAGCACTGGATTCTTTCCCATCATGGGAATGAGCAACCTTTGGGTCTGCAGTTACTGCCGGTACAGTGTCATCAGTGTCTTGTGCTTTGAAGGGATTAACAGCAATACATGGATACACAGTAATGTTTGTCTTCATTGGGATGTAGCCTTCACAGCTGTTGAGGCCTGCAGTGTTTTTGATTGTGACAGTTGTTTTCCCTAGAGCTGATATTTTACAGCCTTTGATGGGTGGCACTTTGCTGAAAGCTTCCTCCCCCATTTCCGACAGTATAAGCATGTTGTCAGTCACTGGCTTTTGTTTGTCACTTACACAAATCATGCTGGCACTTTGTATGGTGCTCGCAAACTCGGAGACAGGAGGTTCTGCCATTGCTTCCCCATGCCCATAGCATGCCTGGGCTATGAAACTGTGGCATGACTGTTCACCATCACTCCCTGTGCTCATTTCACTCAACCATGAGCTGATGGATGAGCGCCTGCTGCCATCATCTTGGGACTTGTCATCCAGGCCCAACTTTGGAAGGGGAAGGAACTGTGTGATACTGACTTCAGACACAGGAGCTGCACTGGAGTAACATTCAAGATCTTCAGATATGCTGCTGATAATACTGACTGGCCTAGAACCAGAGGCCAAAGCCTGCACAGAGCAGTCACTGTTAAAACTGATGATGCTGGTTGGGCGCCCGTTGTCAAGGACCCCACTAATGGTTAGCTCTTCTACAAGGGTGAACACCAGCTCATCCTCGCCATTCAGCTCTAATGGCTGTTGCACAGTCACCATGGTGGTGCTCAGAATCTCCTTCTTGGATTCTGGAGAAATGCTTTGTTGCCCATCTTCATCAAGAACGGTCTCTTCAAAATCCCCACTGCTGGAGGACACTGGCTTCTTCATGATCTGAGGGCTCATGCCTACAGGTGGGGTCCGGATTTCTGTCTGCAATAAAGATTCACTAGACATCATTCCAGCATCCTTAGTCAGGGAAGCCGGTGGGGGAGTGGAGCTGGGTAGGACTCCTTTCTGTGTATAGACCTTGCACCTCTGGGAAGGAGAAGTTGGAGGCTTGTACTCAGATGTTTTTGAGAGGCTTGCAATGCCAAGCCGGGGCGAACCCATTGGCCGAGGTTTGCCTTCCACAAATCCACAGGTGTTGAGACTTTCTCTGCTGCTCTGCAAGCTGGTGCTGTGTGCTAACTGACAAGAGCTATGCTCTTTACTAGAGCTGCCTGTTACACTCCTGGGAGAAGAAGGTGTTGAAACATTTGTAAGAGCTCCAGAAGGAACAGGGGAGTGATTTCTCTTAGTTTTGCTGGGTGTTGCATTTGTATTTTCCTTGGCTTCTCTATCAGGATGCTGACATTCTGGCATTGTATCTTCCTTATCTGAGTCTGGTAAGTGGCTAAGCTCTGCCAGCTGGGTTGAGACAGAGCACTTAGACATCTGGTCCGAGCTAAATTGAGCAGGCATCTCTTCAAAGGGAAATTTGCCGGTCTCTTCACTGCCATCTATGCAATCCAGCCTCTCCTGGAGCTCTGCAAAGGTGTTGCACTTCAGGCAGTCTCTTTCAGATGTGCTGGGCCCTGATTCACTAACTTCTTCCAACCTGCCCTCGTTTTTCGTCTTTTGCAGAGCAGGAACTATGGGAACAAAGTCAGGGGGACCCTCATTATCTGTCAGTTCCTTATCAGAAAGGGCCGTGCCATTGGGGCCAACGTAAATCACTGTGTCACATGACTGCTCACTGCTGGATGAATAATCAGGATCACTTGATAAATGTAAAATAGGGAAATCTGGGTCAACAGTGTTTCTAGAATGGAAAGGCCTCAGCTGGGTTGGCCTCCGCATCCTGCCCTCCTCACAAGAGCTCTCTCCTCCAGAAGAACTTGATGTGTACTGCAAAATGAGAGAGAGAGAGAGACCACATTGCAAACAACTCCTCGCACAAATCACATACATCAAAAGGTCACAGTCACATCTAAAATGAGAAATCTCTAAACTAAGGCACATAGCTCCGAAGCTCCTTATCCACAGTCCTACAGCAAACACACAACAGTGTTCAATGGAAACACAATGCCCCAACTCTGTGTTCCACTTGAAATCATGACACTTCCAAAAAAAAGTACTGAACAAATAGATTAGGATCCCTTCCTTAATAGAACGAGTCCAAAGAAATCAGATATTTGGCAAAGGGCATGCTGATTTTGTGTGTGTATGTGAAGAGGAACAAGAAAACTCATTGCACAATTAAGGCACAGAAAATAAAGACAATCCCCATTTGGTCAGGCTACCAGTGTTTGGATTTGAATAACGTGCACTCAGAGGTCTCTGGAGACACGCTGCTGTGATGATGTGGGGACTGAATCCCTTCACTTGTCTCTCCAATTCATTGACAAAAAAGCTTTTGTCAATCCATAGACTGTCAATTTAAATGAAATGCATAAAATTAACTGTTGTTCCCAATTCACACCACAAGGTCTGCAGAAGGAACAGGACTCTAAAATATGAAAGTGGATACAGCCCATTCTTACTCTACTTCTTGGGAAATCTAACACCTGTATTTAGAAGCAGTGGGAATAAAAAGGGCATCAATGCTGGCAATGGACACACTGCTTTCAATATATTTTGCCCCTGCTCTCTCTGGGAAGCATAGAGAATCTAAGTCTTCATTAATCCAAATTTCCTTTAACTCTACAGCAGTTTTATTCCTTATTTCATTAGCACTAAGAGCATAACTGAAAATAAATGCTCTCTACCAGCTATATCATTAAATGATGCCAGCTTACAATCCTGCTATAGCAGATATGTCTGAACTCACTCCTCTATATCTGAAGCTGAAGCTTTATCCTTCCTAGTCTCTGCTATGTGCTCTGAGCCACTTGCCTAGGACAGTGTATGTACAACCCACGCACTCTGGAATTGATTACTGGATCTTGTTACATGCTGCTCTACACTATTAAGAATCCTACAGGTTCCTTCTTCCTCCCTCCTCCACTATTACAAACAGGGAGTTATACATTCTCTTACCTTAGTTTTCTTTTTCTTCATCCTGAGGACCCTTGATGCAATCTGGATGGTGGACAGCGTCTCAGCGTAGTTCCCCGCAGCAGCTGAAATGTGAGCTATCATTGTGGTGCGGCAGTTCATATTCCCCAAAGACTCCCGAAGCAACATAGTGAGCTTGCTGTCTCTGCAAAATAAAATGAATTAAGGCTACATTAGTGAGCAAGGTTTCACTTTGACCATGACGATGTGACTTGGGTCTCAGCAAGATTTTTTTCTCCTCTTTTTAATGGAATACTAATTAGTTTCCCTCCTCAGGTTTGCACTGTGTTTTGTCTTCAGCTCAGCATGCTGAAAGACCCTGGACTACAATTTAAACTTCCTTCCTCTTCCCAGTTCCCCCTTTCTGTCTTAATCTGGCCTCAGTCCTTCTGCACTGTTACCTCTGCCAGGACAGAGATGCAGACCACTGTTTAGGTGCCGCTACAGCAAACATCAAACTGCTGCCCTTTTCCAGTGCGCAGTGTGCAAGCAAATTCTGGCCCAGCTCTGGAGGACGAGAGGGCAGTGGATTAGATTAGAGGACCCAAATTTTTTCTTGCCTTCTAAGGCCCTGGGTAACTCAATAAGAATAATAGTTAAATCACTGAAATTAATTTTGGATTATGCTGGTGAAATACAATTCAATCAAGCCTTAAGACTTTGCACAATTGTTCTTTCATATTAGATCTTTTCTTCCACTGAGGTAGAAATCAAATTTTCTGTTCTTGCCATTTACTCTATTGTTCAGCACAGGATAGCTTTTGAAATGCTGATGCTGTATTATGGGGCTGCCTGTGACTGGACTAAGAATATGAATTTTAACAACAAAATGATGCATATGTAACTCTTCTGTGGTGGTCATCTAATCTTGTAGTCAGAAATGTATGATATAATTTTTAAAGAGAACTTTAGCTACAAGGTGTACAGCTTAACTGGATGGTTAGTTGGGAAATGGCACCCTCTTGAAAAGAGCCTCTCCTACACTAAAGATTGTGGATGATAGTTACATATGGCTGAAAGCAAAGACAGCAACAGCCTGATATTTATCTGTTGCTAAAGAAATTGCTTTCACTGTTGTAAAGACAGCAATACCTTCAGTGGCCGGGGATCAGATTTTTGGGGCTCACTGTTCAATATCTGCTAATGACCTGTGGTGCATGTGTGCCCTTGGTTGTCCACTTAACATTTCCAGCTCACGGGAATTCTACATGAAGCTGCAATTGCTGGGAACTGAAGCTATGCCTACTGGATGGGAAAGACAAACACCAAAATTCTTGAACCTCTCTTTTTGATTGAGTAAACAACAGCATTTGGGATGCGTTATTTTGATGCATCTAGCAATAAGTCTGGGGAGCTCATAAATTGTCCTTCTCCTGAGGTTTCCAGTACTTGCAATTTCAGCTAGGTTAGCAATACTGGAAATAAAACATCTTTTGTTTCAGGATTTCTGCTTCCATTTGCTCCAGACACATTGAAGACAGTCTGGTGTGTCTGAGAAGCAAACAAACATCCATAAGGACTATACTGAGACAGCCTCACTCATTTAACTTGTGACCTAAGGCTGCTTTGAATCCACAGATCCAGAGTTAATAGGTTGCTGTATCTCAGGTTAGTGGTCCTCCTTTCCATCAAGGAATAATTAAGATGTCAAATTTTGTACATCGGTTACTGCCACTCCAATGCAGAGTTACACAGAAATTATTAACATCTGCACAGAAATCAATACCAAGCCTTTCATTTGCTAGTGCTTCTATCATAGCAACACATGAGACAACAGGGGAAAGGGCAAAAGAATACATTCTGAACATGTCGGTCTCCTGAGAATACATAACCCATGCAGCCAGCATCAGCACACTGTGTCATGGCTCTCCAAGAGGTATATGCATTATGAATATAAAATAATCTGTGCCATCTGCCTTGTACTGAAATACACACTTGCAAGAACAATGATGGTACAGAGGAAATTCCTATTCTATAATTCAAATGGTCCTCTGACATATATCAGATAGGAACTAAAGGGCAGATTTGTTTAGGATTAAAGCCTGAAACATAGCAGCACAAAAGCCCAGCCAACACTGATTTCTAATTTTAGAGTTTGCTCATTCAGCACTGTCTGCATCTTGACTATCAACTTCACTTTGCACCCAGACAAAACAACTAGCTTCATGTCACTACTGTACATTGAAAAATAAAATAAAGAGTAAGAAAGGTGCTAAACACAGATTTTTGTCAATTCTGGACATTGTCATAAGACAAGTTCACCTGTTCACAGTTCACTGATCTGTAACAATAGCACCTACTAACTTCTAAAGGAAAGAAAGGAAATCAAAGAGAACATAATAACACAAAAATGTGTGGCTTAATTTTCAACTCACCCTATTCTCCTCAAGTAAAATATTGGTAAAATACTTTGGAAGTCTCACTGAAATTTGCTTGACAGACAGTATGAGACAAAGTAGATGCTTTGTTCTTCTGAATGCTGACATGGCACTTCTGCCTGAAAAAAAATAAAGGCTCTGCATTGTTTCATTAGGTGATTCATGAGCTGGTATTTGCAAAAGCCAAATTTCCTGTGAAAGCAGAGTTTTGCAAAGAGAAGGTCTGCACTTCTGCGCTGGAAGAGCTGTGAGAAGGAAGAACTTTGTTGATCTGCCTGTGCAAACTAAACTAAGACACAGGAAATTCTGAAGAAGCTAACAGAAGAGCTGCTGCTCCTGGGTGCACATTGCTCCCTGTATTAAGCAGAGAATGGTTTATAGAAGGTCCCAGATTTCCCACAGCAGCACGGTGAATTGCACCAATGTCTTTATAGCAAAGAGGAGATCCTCAGGAATGCTATCAGTCCATTTCTATTCTGCTCCATGAGCAATGAAATGATATGCCAGAGGAGCACAATGACCCCATTTTATACACCTGTCTTAATTTTAAATGTACTTCTATCCCATCCACTAATGGTTTTATAGTTTAGGAAATTTACCATAACCCATCATGAATATGGGGATATAATACACAGAGAACAATGAAGGTGGGGTTGGAAGGATACCACACTTCAGACTCCAAAGCCTGTATATCAGTAAGTCCACTCTGCAGCCTTTTCAGTACTTAAAAGTTACCTCATTTTTCTAACCGCATCACTTGGTCTAGTAAAATACATTCTTATTACTTGTAAATATTTTCTTGCCTAGCTCCTTAGATCATTATGGCAACAGCAAAATATTACTAAATACTATTCATACGTCCCACACAGGTAAAACCCCCAAATAAAGTATGCAAAGCTCTACCTCTGGAAAAGTCCAGAGGCAGGAGCCCTGGGGGCAAGAAACTAAACTCAGATGTCTCTAGGAAGTATGTCAGCAGGTATGGTACAGAGGATCCAGAAAGGAAGAACTGTGCAGACTGCCAGGCAGAAATCTCCAGTTCGTTCTATGGAGTAGCAGCCCCCCACATGGAAAGGAGCTCTCTCTTCTCCATGCTGCTCCCTTACCTCCTCCATAATTCCACCCTCTCACATTGCAGCAGCTACTGGAGGACTCATAGTGCAATTTTCTGACTCTCTCAATAGCTGCCACTAAGGAACCCTAGCAGGTATTAAAACTCCCCAAACCAGAGACGGTAGAGCAGCAGTGAGCACAGTGTTCTCTGTTACTTCTCTTCTGAGACTTCACCATGCAAACCGAGATCAGTGTAAATGAGTTCTTTAATTGCTCAGTAAGAAGTAAAAATGTACATCTTTATGTTCCTCTAATACATATCTGTATTTTCCTTCCTCATGAATGATTAATTATAGTCAGATTCAAACAATACAGAATCTTTCATTAGAAGAATGAAGATCATGATACATTTCCTTGGAGGACACTGCCTAAATCCCACTTGCCTATGTGGATTAAGTCAAAGTCTCTAATTTCATGACTGGATACTATTTTTCCACTAGACTCCTGCCTCAATCATTGCACAGGATAAACAATGCTCAGTGAACAAGAAGTTATGCAGTCTTTCATTTAATCCTTGCCTTTTTAATGTGCAGACTTGTGCTTTATCTACTGTTAGAACTATACAAACTCAGCTTTGAATCCAGAATGACTGATTTCTTCAGAGGCCCTTTTTTTCTATGTGGAGCTCATCAATGTAGTATCAGATGAATGCCTCTGAGGTGAGGTACATAATCCCCCGATAATACCTGCAGCACTGAAGACTTCACTAAGTATAAGTGTTTGGTGTGAAGCACTGATCTTTCAAAGAACTGAGCATTATAGTCTTTTGTATTCAAAGTACAGCTAACTTTGACTTCTGTTGCAGAGAAAATGGGGTATCTGATTCTCAATCTGGGTACGCAAAAAAACAGGGACATATGGTTAATAGAACACCTAAAATTTTTAGGAATGCATTGGCAGAGCCAGTTCTCAAGGCAATACCAGTTCCCTTCAGAGCACAGCCCTTCTCTTCCACAGCCCTCAGTTCCACTTTCCATATGCCCTCCAACTTCTGTTACAAATTAGGGAGGGAATTTATCAACAACAACCACTATTCTGATTCACCTCCAAAGCAGGTCTTCTATCTGCCTTGAAAAATATGATAATTCTAGGGGTTGCGGGGGATTCCTGCAAAGAGAACACAATACATAGCCCATGGGGCTAGAGTAAGTTTGCCAGGACAACCGTAATTCTGGCATTTTCTGCCCCTGTAGCGATTGGTCTCATAATCCAAATGCTCTTGTTATATATTTTTATGTAATTTCATGTGCATTTGTGTTTATACTTCCATGACACATCAGCAAGCCTGTAACCTTTCTATGTATTAAAAAGACTCAGTTGCTGAACTATCTGACCAGCTGGCAGCAGCAGCCAGCTGCCACCTTTGGATGGACAAGCAGCAGAGAAGGAGAACATGACTCCCAATTTACCATGAGGTTTTGCTAATATTAGCTGCCTGCAGAGAAACAGTGAGACTCAGGAGAATTGTTGCACTGTAGAAGAGCTGTGCTCCCACATGTTCATATCTTTTTTGCCATGCTGTTCTCTCATTAGACAAACCTGTTCTCTTCTATCAATGTCTGTCCTGAGCTTTCCTCACTCAACTTTCTTACTCATTCTCATACCATGATCCTCACCCCAGCTGCTCACCTAAATAGCCGAGCACAGCTCCATT